TTAATTTAAATTAAATCAGACTTAGTTTTTGTCTTGGCCTGCTACTTTCTGAGTGACACTCCTAACGCCATATTCAAAGGCTAAATGCAGCGCCCAGCCCTCTAAACCAGTGTTTCTCAACCTTGGGCACTTTAATGCTGGCTAGAGAATTCTGGGAGTTGAAGTCCACACATGTTAAAGCAGCCAAGGTTGAGAAACACTGCTGCAAACATTTACCACCCATTTTCAAGGAATATTGATCAGAAATCCCAAGTTAAATAACCTCAAGGGGATTTCTGCTGTGTCCCATCGGTAGTGGGACAAAAGATACAGCTCCATGGCTTGGCTTGGAGGATCAAAAGACTGGAGTTTGGAGCAAAGAAAATGTCTACTCTTGAACAAATGTAACAACAGCTCCAAGCCTTTAGGCAAAGCTGAAGGGCACACTCAGAATACTCCACATAATCCATGTCTATAATTTTGGCAACCACTCTGTAAGGTACCTCATCACTGGAATATTGCATTTATGTATGAGTGCGCTGTGCAGCCAATTCAGTGAACTGAATGTACTTTAAAAATAAGCAAGTAGCAGGACAATAGGACTAGATTGTGTCTGAAGTTCTAGTGAAGTACCTCATATTACCTGTAGCAAGCACCTGGTTTGGATAGAAGAATCAGAGAGGTATAAAGGAGGGAAACATAGGGTGGAAATGAAGCTCCAAGTACCTTCATTTGGGGAGAACCCCAATCTCCACTATGCAATTACCTCTTCTCTGTTTGCCTCCCATTTCTGATACTTAATACTTAGGAGGGCTACTGTGATTTTAGGGTATTCAAATCTTACAATGTGAATTATTTTGTAATCCCAACAAGGCTGTCAAATCCATCAAGGTTATTAATCCCTACACCACAGATGAGGCTGAAGCTAAGAGAGAGAAAGTAGCCTGCCTAAAGACTTCTGAGTAAAAATATGCAAATTTTCCAAGAGGCAGGTGAGTAATTTAGTGCTTATGCTCAACCACTGATTCTTGACAATAAGACAGCTGTGTCTGCCCTTTGCAGTGTTCTTGAGTAACAGAGAAGGATTTCATTCCCCATTGATATGGGGCCAACTTGGACAATTTTAAAGTAGGTTTTAAATGCATTCATGGACATAGGATTAGCAATAGCTCCTTGCTACAATGACTAGATGGCTCCTTCAGGCTAGAAGTAGCTTTCAGTAGGAACCTGGCTGACCATTTTGGGAACCAAAGGCTAAACTAAAAGTCTCTGGTCTGTTCTTGCAAGACATGTTGGCTGGAGGGGGGGGAAGAGAGAGAGACCTGACATTCATTCATTCTCAGATCTGCATCACGTGATGGGGGCTGCCATTTTAAATATACCACAACGCCATAGAGTGACACTCTGTGGGGACACTGTGGGAAATGCAAAAGGCAATTTCCAGCACTGGTCAGAGTACTACTACTAGTTAAGTCCACAAATGGAAAACGACGTTTTTCAACAGCCCTCTCCAGAGCTCCCCACCTTCAAATCTGAAACCAACCCTGGCAGGACGTTGGGTTTACACGTTGCACTCAGCCAAAATATGGTTTCTTTGGTTTTGGTGCATTGGGCGAATCTGGCCAAGTGTGGTCCCTTCTATAAACCACAACTAATTAATAAATTGTGTCTTAGGGTCATTGTGCTGACCTGGGCAGTCAGTGCCTGTGAAGGCAGCAGCCCTAGAGAGGGAAGACGCAGCACGAGGATTGCTACTCCTAGGTAGAAGCACAATTCGCAGGAAAGCAACAGGAAACCTGTGGGCAGAAGACAGCCTTGGTCACCTGCTTCAGCCAAGGAGGAGCAAGATAAATCAGCTACCTGCTTTCAGAAGAGGTCAGCTGCATGTTAACCCTAGTAATAACTTATTCAGAAAAGAGGCAGTGAAGGGTTCCCCAACTTCTGTTCCAAGGGGTTTTTGGTGGGGGGGAGGAGGAGTAAGAACGAATTCCACCTACTTCTCCTGTTCTCTCCTTTCCACGTGTGTGCTAAAAAGATCCCTGATCTCCCGGGCATGTGGGTTGGACATGTACATAAGTTGTCTTTCTGGCTGCTGGTAAGATCTTGAGACAGACCGCACCATCTCTTCCCACCCTTCCTGGAGGGGCTCCCCTTTGCTTTCACAGATGTTGTGCAAAATGCAGCAGGCTACAATGACCCGCGGGGCATAGCGTTCCCGCACATCAAGGCGGGAGAGCAGACACCGCCAGCGGCCCCTGAGCCGCTCAAAGGCGTACTCCGCCACTGTCCGGCAGCGGCCAAGCATGTTGTTGAAGAGCTGTTTTCGGGAGTCCAACTGACCGCTATAAGGAGTCATTAGCCATGGCAGAAGAGGATATGCAAGGTCTCCTAGGATGACCGGCTTTACTTGCTCCCCCTCTAGGTCCATTGTAGTGCTAGGACCAAAGGTCCCTTGATTCATGGCCCGGAAGATGGGGGAGCTGCGAAAGATCCTGGCATCATGAACTTTCCCAGATCGCCCAGCATATACATCGATGAATTTGCCTTCATGATCCACCAAGGCCTGCAGAACCATAGAGTAATACCCTCTGCTGTTGATGTATTCCATGGCTCGGTGGGCAGGAGCAATGATAGGGATGTGGGTTGCATCAATCACCCCAATGCAGTGAGGAAAACCTTTGGCTGCAAAGCCTTGTATCACCTCCTGGGGCCTGGTCAGAAGGACCACATGATGATAGACATCATAAAGGGCTTGGCAAACTTCCATGACTATCCTGGAGACGGTGGAGCGCCCAACGCCAAAACACTCTGCTACTGAGCGGTAGCTATCTGGGGTGGCCAGCTTCCATATAGCTATGGCTAGCTGTTTCTCAACAGTAATGGGAGCTCGCATGTTGGTCGTCTGACGCTCAAGGACCGGCCTCAGTCTGTCACACAGCTCCATGAAAGTCTGCCGACTCATCCTGAAGTTCTCCTGCCAAAGATGGTCATCCCAATGGGGCAGGACCACCTTCTCCCACCACTCGGAGCGGCCTGGCTGCACCCAGAAGGCCCGCTCCATGATGTAGAGTTCATCTATCAGCCCAGCAAGCACGGCTGGGGACTGGAAGAGGCAAGAACACATCATAGCACGCAAAGAGTCAATGCTGGACTCCACCACTGCTCGGAGGCGCACAGCAGCTGCGTTTTCCACCATCTGCTCAAGCTCCAGGAGGTCACGGCGGTCGCGGGGCAGAAAAGTCCGGCGGGTGGCCAAACGGCTGAAAATTTGCGACTGGATCCCAACAACAGTCTTAACCGCAGCCACAGCAGCTGTGGCAACAGTGATGGCGGCAGAAGCCACTTTGTCACCAGCAACAGTCATTTCTGAAAGCCAGAAGAAAAACAGGCAGAAACTGTTTTAGAAAACAAAGGCCAGCCCATCTGAGTAACCTAAACATCACTTCAGTCAATTCTTTTAACTGAGGATCTCCACCATGCAAAACAAGTATTCTGCGTCTCAGCCACAGAAAACAGAGGCATTCTTTGTTTTTCTGAAATCATCTCAAATAGCCTGCTGATTTTGGGGGGGGGGGGATCACTTTCAATGACTTACAAAGACAGCTTATGTTTCATGGTTTATTCTATCTACTGAACAAATTATCTGCATCTGTAAGTATGAGTTTCCCTTATTTCACAGTTACTATACCAGGAGAGCCAGTCTGGTGTAGTGGTTAAAGCATCAGCTAGAAACTGGGAGACTGTGAGTCCCATCTTAGGCATGAAGCCAGCTGGGTGACGCTGGGCCAGTCCCTCTCTCTCGGCCCTAGGAAGAAGGAGGCAAGAGCAATCCACTTCCAAAAAACTTGCCAAGAAAACTGCAGGGACTAGCCCAGGCAGTCACCAGGAGTCAACACTTTGAAAGCACCAAAAAAAAAAAAAAAAAACCCTAGATACCAAAGCCACCTGCCATCTTAGCTAAGCCTCAGTCTCATTCCACCACCACTTTCTAAGAGTTCACTGGGCCTGGCCATGTAAATTTCAATATATCTACACAGCAACAAGTCATAGAAGTGTGAAATCTATCCCAGCTACGGATTGGTATCCAGAATTGACCTCTATCATTTTGCATTTGAGGAGGGATGGCAGGGGAAAAAAAAAACATTCCTTCAAATGCTGGGAAGCCAATGTTGGGCAAACCAATGATCCTTCACCAGATGAACCCAAAATGATTCACACATTTACAATTTAAAATATTCTTGCTTAGGTTTTTCTATCCAGTTCTTTACCTGAGCTGGTATCATTTCTCACTGTCCCTTCTCCAGCGCTTTGGGAATCTGGAGTCTGTATTTCTTCCTCCTTCTCCATCCTAGGTCTTAACTTAGACTTTAAGATAGGAAGTCCTAATTAGAGAAGAAAAGTGAAAAAAAGAAATGAAAAATGAAAACAAGCCAGAACTGTAATCAGACATGGAGAAATTCCAGCAAGCCCAGTTGTTCATGCACGAAACTTCAAAGTCCTTCCTTTCAATACCTATCTGAGGCAGATGACCGCTCTCCAATCATGGGTTGTGATTTGGGGAAAATGTTATCTTTCCATGTTCTGTGATTCATATACATTCAGGGATTTATGGTCCTAACGTATATGGATGCCAGATTGAGGAAGGTTGGGACAGGGACACTGAAGAAAACTTAAGGGATTCTGAAATTCTGTGGTGCAGCATTGCTCAGGAGAGCTGCTACCAGCTAAGCCCAACGAAAGACAATATTTTGCCCCAAACTCCTTTAAGCCTGTTGTTAGTTTCTGTCTTAATGATGAGACTACACACTTTCCATTGTTGATGCTCTACATTCCATTGATATTTTCAGAGAGTTCATTACCAAGATCTCCTTACTCATTAGTGGCCACCAGCTCAAACATGCCAATGTCTATCTGAAAATAATTCAGAAGTGCTTGAGTCCTCTCATGAATACAACCCTTCTTGGTTATTCATTAAAGCAACCCATTTTTTTTCAAGCTTCTGTTATGCTTGAAAAAAAGATGTGACTGCTGTAAGAGTCAGATTAACAACATGGTGCTTTAATGAATCAACTGATGTTCAGTCAACTAATCAAGGTAATGATGATAATTACAAATGAGGATGTGAATAAAAAAGAGGTTCTGTGCAAGTTCCAAAGCTCTTCTTACAAATCATCCTCATCAATGTGTGGACAGCCTTAATGTCTACAGTATGTGATGCTGACATTTTTGCCTCACTGCCCCTTGCTTTACACTTCCTGTCATTTGGTCAGATTTTACACTCATACAATATTTCTGACAAATATTATAATAATATGCTTTTGTTTTTGGTTCTGTTTTGTGCAATCCTAGCAGGAGGAGTTCATATTCAGAGTGGGTACAGATGCACAGTACTATAACTGCAATAAAATGGCCTTTGGGCCAGTAAAATATAGGACAAGGGCTTTGAAAGGCAGAGGCTCTGCTATACAATTAAGACTCTGGAGAAAGATAATCCAGCAGCCACGCATTGAAGAAAAGTCAGTGGAGCCCGGCTACTGATTTCCAGCTGTGACTCACCAGCCGGACCCTGGACAACCAAGAGGAGTTCACAAACAGCCTCTGAAGGCGAGGCAGCTTCATTCAGCCACTCTTGGCTTCTAGTCTCCAGACGCTGCGCCTTTCGGGCCAGGCATTCACAGGGCCATCCTGGATAACTCCAGAAGCGAGCTGCGCCCTTGCCCATCAGCAGACCAGCCTCCCCCTGCCTCGGCCTGGGTGGCTCCCTCCGCAGGCGATGGAGGATGGGAAGAGCCGCCGCAGACGAATCAAGCGAGGCGAGCTTGAACTCCATACAAAGGAAGCAATTTCTGCCCATCAGCAGCCCTGCCGTTCCGCGGGCAACACCCCCGGACGCACAAAGGCCGCGTTTTCTTCGTTCGCGACGCCCCCCACCCCCTTCATCGCGCGGTTTGTTTTTCCTCCTCCGTCCTCCCGCACCTGCCCCGAGAGAATGTGCTGCCCGGGCTGCTTTTGCAGCCTCCGCTTTCTCCGCCGAGAGGGAGGAGGT